GACTGTCACAGGTCGGCTCAGTTGATCAGGAGGTGAGCGAACACATACCGGTGTTCGCTCACCTCTCGATCCTGTCATGGCTCTCTGCCGTGACAGGGGAGGGGCTGGATTCCCCCCTCCCCACTCCGATCTGCCAGCGCTGACTGGCGGAAAGAACGGGGGAGGGGGCGGGTACAGCTGGCTCTGCCTCCAGGTAGGCAGAGCCAGCTGTCAGTCACGCAGCTGGGCAGATCCCGACATAATTGTCGGAATCCGCTTCAGCTGCGCGTCTCAGGGAGGGGGCGGGTACAGCTGGCTCTGCCTCCAGGTAGGCGTGACGGGAGGATGCTAGTTTGTGTCCTCCCGTTACCCTAAGGAGAACTATGGGGAAAAGCCTTAACCCCATAGTTCTCCTTTAAAGAGAAATTCCACTTTTTGCAAAAAATAATAAATGCACACTTCTTCATAAAATAAAAAAATGTGCATTTATTATTATTTTTTGCATAGGAAAACATTTCAACTGTGATCAGCAGATTGCAGGTGCAATATACTGGTTCCTGCAGACTATACCTCCTGTCCACCTCATACTGAGGTGTAGACGTGTATTAACATGGACGGCAGAAAGTGTCAATGGATTAAAAGTACGGTGACGTCATTGAAATTAAAATTCCCTCTGCCTTACTTAGTGGCTGATTGGACTTGTAGATTCCGCCCTCACAGCTGCGTCATCCATTCACAGATCCTGACAGGACAGGATCTGTGAATGGATGACACAGCTGTGAGGACAGAAGCACACACAGCTGTGCCAAATTCAAACGGAAATAAACCTGCGAGGAGAAGAACCTCGTGATTCAGATAAGTGGGGGGCTGGGAGAGGGGTCTGCAACCTGAGAATGTTTCATGTCACATCATGAAACATGGTCAGATAGGTAAACTCAGCCTTTAACCCTCTCCACATATGCTGTACGTCGCTGGCAGAGGGACTCTCTAAACAAACTCCCGGCAGCTATAGCTCTGTTCAGCTGTGTAAAACCATTAGTCCGCTTTACACTGGAAGCGATTCTGGTGGTATAACGGGTGTTGTCCTGTAGAGGGTAGACAGACTGGCGAACATCCATTCGCCAAACGCCTCCCCACTCAATGGAGCCAGAAGCGACGCTGATTGCATCACTTCCGTTCCTTTAGCTACTATTACCCAGCTAGAGAAGTCAAGTAAGAAGCTATTCACATGTGGTCTGCACTTGAATAGCTTCTTTGGAGTGGAAAGGTGACACTAGGGGTCTAATAGCCCCCTAATGTCACCTTAAAGGGTACCTATCACCACTAATATGCTATCACATGGGGGGCTTGTAAGCCTCCCCTATGTGATAACAATGAAGTATAGTAAAAAAAAAAAAATTAAAAATAAAAGCAAAAATACAGAAAAACGTAAACACGGGTGTCGGGTGCACCTACGTATGAAAACATACGTGAAAGCAATTATACTAGGGCCAACATTCACAGTACACTCTAAACTGATGGCCTGTACTGGCTTTTAAAGCGTCGCCTATGGACAATTTGGGGTACTGTCTGTGTTTCATGGGCGCACACAATTTTTAAGCTTGGCATTGTTGGGTATCTATTTACTCAACATAACCTCGTCTTTTACAACAAAAGGGTATTGTATGGTGTTTTGGGGCATTCAAATTAACAAGTTAATTTTTACACAAATTTTGGGTGTGATAAACAGTTGTGGTAATATCATGCAACGTAAAAATTTGCAACTTCTTCCATTATATTCTACAAGGTCTGTGTTTTCAGGACATCTGCAACTCTCAGGCCTGTGGATTGTAACTTGTGCAAAAAAACGCCTTGGCAGGGAAAGGGATAAAGCGGAACTCCAGACAAATGGCTAAATACACAAATGAAATACTTGTAGTATATGGGAGCTGTTTTACTTGTCAAAGGTTTTGTATTGCAGTCGTTAGATTTACACAGCCCCATCAAACAGCACAGACGTATCTGACAGGGAAGGACCTGATTTTCTCTGCTACACTCGCTAATCCAGTGTTGTACTACAGGTTTTTTTTCAGCATAAGAGAAGGAATTTAAAGAAAATATAGAACTACCAACTTAACCTTGGAGAAATACCCAAGGATCAAGAAAAATAGATCTGTCTATTGAACTTCTGAAAATTAGGTCTGTGATCTCTCTCAAAAACCCCTTGAACCTTACAATGCCAAATTAAACGAGAAATGGTACTTGGGACAGATCTTAGACTTACAAGGCTTCATGAAATGCATCCTCCCTGGTGTTGTATAGACCATCTATACAATCTAAGCCACTAGGGAGAATGGATCGGCCACTTCAGTTTGCTGCCTTTCTGCTTCCCAAAGGTTGAAACAAGCTATTAGCCATAGAGGACGTACATTCATTTCAGTGGGTCAGCTAACTCAGGCTAATTAGAAAGAGTAGTAAAGCACAGCCATGGAGCACTTCAAAGCAAGAAGCAAGGCCCCTGTGTGTAATGAGAAATGACTAGTACTTCATCTTTTAAATAAAAGCCATTTGTTGCTGTCTAAGTCACTATCGGAGAGACTTTCCTCATCCCCACACACTTTCTGTCCCAATAAAAAGCTCTCCAATGGGAATGCAGCCAAATACAAAAGCCTGTCATAGGTCCTATGTTGTAGGTCCTACTCTACCCAAAACATAAAAAAAGAAACAAGGTTTCGTGAGAAGTCGGGCTTTAAATTTATATTAAATTCAAAAAGGTTTTTAGGCTATTTCAAATGCTGTTTTAATGACTTACAATGGATGCTGCTCCTTGATGTTTAAAAGTTTTAGTTTCTTGCAGAATCAGCTGCTCCCCTGAGCTCTGGCCCTGATATTCTGTTTTTGGCCTCTTTCCCTCGCAGGGTCCTATGGAGCCACCCTTGCTGTTTGCTAGTAAGTTGTGTGTGTAGTGTGTCTCCACAAACACAGACAGCAAGGCAAGCAATTCCCCTTTTTCCTGCTCCAACTTCCTTCCTCTTTACTTCTCCAAGCTAGTAGATGAACAGCTGCTGGAGACTGCTCTGTCCCTTGTGATCGTATACTGGACAGGAAGTTGAGGGAAGCTGAGCTCAGAGAGTTGCAGCTAGCTGAGCAAAAATTCAAAGAAAAACTTTGCTGGGCAATGTATATATTTTTTCGATCTGGATGCATTATTGGGGAAAATGGTTAGGAGTTTAATACTACTTTAGTAATTTGAAAGCCTAGTGGGTATGTGAGTGACAATATCTTAAAGAATGCATATGCTACAGTAAGATGCATTCAGAACTAAAGTAAATCGGGTTTAAACCCATGAAGAGGACCAATTATTATATTCAACTAATTTTTATTCATAGTTTGTCATGTTTTGGAAATGTTTCTCTTTCCTGTAGACCAGGGATCTCAAAATCAATTGACTCGGGGGCCACTGGACACATTTTCTTCCCCTGCAGCAGGACTCCTTAATCTGGCATTTACAAGCGGCAGCTGACACCCATTCAAGTTAATGTTTAGGTGAGCCGTTGCATGTAAACGCCAGAACACCGCATGTAATGGTATGTGATATGATCACATGCAGTTAGAAAACAGTCACTCTCCCTGGACGCATTGATCGTGCATCCACAGAGAGTGACTGATTCCTAACTACATTTAATCATATCACATACCATTACATGTGGTGTGACGGCGTTTACATGCAGCGGCTGTCACCTGATCATTAACTTGAATTATATATTTATAGTTTAAAAAAAATATATATATATATACAGTATACATCATATTTTTTTTGTTATTCTTATATATTATTTGGATTTTATTATTAATTTTTTGTAGGTTTTTTTTTAAATTAACATCATAGAACAAGACATGCGGCTGTGGCATTTCTGGACCCTCACATCCCCATTACAGGCAAATCGCCTGTAACATTTCTGGACTCCTCTCCTGCGCTTGCGCATTCAGCCGACCACAGTACAATGAAGTTACTGGACGCATGGTTTAGAATCCTCATGAAGTCCGGGATCGTGTTATAAAACTGGAGCTCAGAATTGTCAGAGCTCCGGCCGAAAGGAGTTACTGAGTGCCGGAGCTGACGGGGATGACAGAGATGCAGACCGTGTAGCTGTTCCCACACGTCAGGTACAGCGTCCCTGACGACAGCCAGCTGCGGGCCGAATGGTATCGGTTGGTGGGCTGGTACTTTGAGACCCTTGCTGTAGACAGTTGTAATATTAGATGAACTCAAAATTATGGGTTATTCAGTGCAACATAACCTCCTACTCTGGTTGCAACAGGTTACGTCAAGACTGTTCACAGATCCCACAAACCATCACCTAATAGTATTAGTTACCAAAGCAGCAGCTGAAAAGAGAATAAAGAAACTATAATAAGTGTTTGCCTTTTGAAGATGTGTATACATATAAGTGAGTATGTTCGTGCCTGAGTTGTGACTGATTGTGATACAATGTGGTACAGCATTTTATTCAGTACAGGCTGGACAGGGGAGAACAAGGTTATGTCATAAGCATAGCGATACTGAAACGAAACTGAAAATATACAATTGTGTGCAGAGAACTAGCAAAGTTCTAATAGATGAAAGTTTTTACACTTTATTTATTCAGCTTCTTAAACTAATTGTGATCTGAATGCAATGCTTGATCAAGCCAGGACATTCATTTGTTTGCTTATGTTTTTCTGCAGTAATGTAATCCATTTCGTTTTCATCATTACGTGGATACTTTTTGCTTTTTTACATTGTTAGCTACATTTGACCATTACCAGCAATGAGCAAAGCCTGCAAACACATTTTCTTTCACTATAATGACCAGTTTTTCCCTAAGCAAGCTGGTGCTGTATGTTTCATTCTTTTTATTTTGGGGAACTTATAGATGTGTAGTAGTGCTAGACCAGTAGGAGTAGAAATTGGTTTTGATATGAATTTAAAAAAATGGGGGATGTATTTATTGATGGAAGCAACCCGTGATAATAGTACAGTATATGCTTAGTGTATAAACATGGGTATGGTCCAAGGTTGCTTCCTCTCCGGTGATGAATGGGGGGGGGGTTGTTTAACAGAAGATACAATCTTGAATGTGTGGTTAGGAGAACCTCCTAACAAATGGTATTTCACTTGAAGATTCGTTTAGGTTGTTTATTTGAGTGGAAATGTCAGATACTGACAAAATGTTTCAGGGGAATTACTCCCCAGTAGTCAGTTCAAATAAATCTGTGCATTGTAGCCTGAATTAGTGCTGGATGAGCACTGAGTGTCAGTGTGACACGCTTGCAGTTAGGACTGGATCTGTCCTTTTACTTTAGTGTATGTAATACATTTTAGAAGAGTTAGGTTTTGTAAAATGCAGTAGTTTCCTTCCAAATAAAATAATTACCACCCATTTCGAAAACATGCATAAAGTGCAAAGTATTACCACCACAATGCAACTGTATGATTCTAGCTTAATGTTACATTTCATTTTCAGGAAAGAAGAGAAGGAATGTAACTGATAGGACTGGAAAAACTGTAGAAAGTGTAACAGAAAATAAGCAACCACGTACAGTGAAATCGAGGAATAATGGAGATGAAGGTCCTTTGAAGAAGAATAAGGCTGAAGTGCCAACAGAGGTGAGATGTTGCCTTTCTTTCTCAAATTTTTACTTTTGGTTTTTAAATTAGTAAGTTTTTGAACTTGTGTTTTGTGTTAACTAGGGATGCACCGCTACCGTTTTCCTGTATCGAGTACCGATGTTTTCTTTTGGTACTCGCACATACCGAGTACCGGTGCCGTGTGCCCTGATTCTGAGGAAGTCGCCCAGCTTCCTGATTGGTTAGGAAGCCAGGCTGCCTACCAACAAGTGAAGCTGGCTTTCTAGTCAATCAGGAAGCCGAGGTCACGTCATGACCCGCCTCATAGCTTCCTGATTGCCTAGGAAGCGAGCTTCACTTGTTCCTAGGCAGCCGGGCTTCCTGACCAATCAGGAAGCCAGGATGCGGGTCATTATGTGCGCCCGACTTCCTGACTGGTCAGGAAGCCAGGCTGCCTTGCAACAAGTGAAGCCGGCTTCCTAGCCAATCAGGAGGGCGGGTCATTACCCACTGCTCGGCTTGCTGATTGGAAAGAAAGCCGGCTCCCTCGGCACTGCCGGTCAGAGGGAGATCTTCCTCTGACTGAGAGTTCCGGTATCGTAGGTAAGTCTCAGAGCATTTGGGCAAGTACGAATCGTGGTGGTAACGTTAACATTAGACTTGGTCCTCACACGATAATTAATGACGCCACTACAGTAAACTCCCAGTTATCCAGCATCCACAGGGATTGGTAGATTCCAGATAAATGTACTTTCTGGTTGCTTGAGAGTTAGTGTTAAAAGTTGGTTTAACTGCTGCTGTACCACATATTATACCATACCATAATAGTATATTGTACTCTAAACCATTAGCAATACATTGCAGTACTGGGAGTTATCACTAGGTGGTACTTGTTCACAGGATAACACAGCACCTTTACAAACGATTGATCAGACATCCTTCCAGGATAACACAGCACTTTTCAGAGATCGTCCAGGCACTCATTCCTAGGATAATCCAGCACTTTGTGGCCCATTCCTGTACCTTTCCATGCTCCAAAGCCCGCTCTCCCTCTCCTAGAAGGTGGCAGATCGGCAGAACAGTGCGTACACAGGGGATTTTTTTTTTTGCTAGTTAGATGGGAGTTCTGGTTAGCTGAATACCGGATAACAGAGAATTTACTGTATATACTGAATATGTTCCAACAGAAAGAGCAATTATTGGTAAATATTTCCATTTGTTTTGCATACATAACTATTGTCCTGCCCTCTTCTCTGGCCTGTAGATGAATAGATGTGTTCTTCCCCAGTCTCACATGAACTCTCAGACACTTTGTCCTCCAGTTGCTGGTTTGCTTTGTTGACATAGAGAATTGCAGATATAATTTGCTTTGTTTGCTTTCTTTGTATAGCTCTAGGAAAGATGATGTAGATATATTTCTTTCCTCTCTCCTACTTGCTTTGTTTTAAGCTATCCTTTTTTTCATTGCTTGATTTCTTTATTCTGTATGATTCCTTACATCCCCATCTTGCAATCTGTTTTTTTGTTTTGTTTTTATTTCCTTGCTTCTCCTTACATTTATTTGCTAGAATGGAAGAGCACAGTTGAGCATAATTTTCTTTATTCCTGATAGCTCCTGATCTAGACAGTTCTACAAGATGTACCATGCACTTTATGTATATTTCACTTGTTCTAGGAAAAGGCTAACATTTCCATTCTGCTTTTACTATCTTGATACATTTTGCCCTGGAGTCATTATTAACCTATTCAGTCTTGAAGGAATGTGTGTGAACTTTCCTTTGAAAATCCAATATAATTCCTCCCGTACAGTGGATTTCTATTGAACATTCATATGTCTATCAGGCACGTCCACAAAACTAACATGAAGAAAATAAAAGTGGTGTCTTTATTATTCCAAATGGTATGTGTGTTAAGATGAAACATTGTAATGGTATGTGTTTCATCTTTGAAGGGCTGCCATTAAATAGTAGAGAGCGATGGGAAAGGAGATCGTTTTCTTTCCAACCTGGCCAATGCATAAATGTTAATCACTCATGGTGAAAGTCTCCTGCCCTATTTTCCATTGAGATGGGAATGATAGGTAGGGATGCACTGATACCGTTTTTTTCCGGTATCGAGTACCAATATTTTTTTTTCAAGTACTTGCCGATTCTGAATATAGATACTGTGCAATGATTAGTTGCCCGACTTCCTGATTAGCCAGTAAGCCGTTTCCATGCTCCCTCGTAATAATTTGCCGCTCAGATTCCTGATTGGCTAGCTTCCCAACTAATCAGGAAGCCGGGCGGCGAGTTATTACCTGCCCCCCCAGGCTTCCTGATTGTTGGGGAAGGCGGCTCATTGCAGGTGACGAGGAAGCATGGAGCCGGCTTTCTGGCCATTTTGGAAGCTTGGTGGGTAATGACATGCCACCTGGCTTCTTGATTGGCTTGGAAGCTGGCTCCATGCTTCCTCATCACCAAGTGACCAGGGAGCATGGAGCCGGCTTCCCACCCAATTATGAAGCCAGGGGGCGAGTCATTACCCGCTTCCTGATTGACCAGGAAGCCAGCTTCCTGGTGATGAGAAAGCCGGGTACATCCCAAATGATAGGTGTCCAATTGCACAAAGATTTTCCTGTATAATATTAAGAAGTGCGTGTTACTTCCCCCCAGTGACACTTACATGGCCAAAAATTTGAAAATGCGGATCTAAAAACAATCCTGCGCTTCACCTATGCAAGGCAAATCTTGATTGCCCATTCCCTAGCAGCACATACTCACCCTTCCTTCCCTCCAACACTGCCACTCAGTTTAGCCATTGAAAACTAAATATATGGCATGAACCTCCGGGTGTGGAGGAGCATCTGACCCACTTTCATGTGACAGTGCTGGTGCTTGGTGATTTGCCCAATAATGTCACAGGGAGATGAGTCTTCAGCCCTGTGTAAGCTCTGACAGGAAAAACTCAGCACTTGCAAAGGTTTGTCTTTGTTTCTACTCATCTTCACTTGTTCCCCAGTTGCTTAATTTAGTCGCTAAGTATGTTCAGCTGGAGAGGGGGGCATTAGTATAAACCTGTTGCTTTCCCCTTCACGTCCGCTACATACAGTGAAAATGTTGCAGAGAACTTTAAAGTGACTGTGTCGCTAAAATTTAAATTGCAATAATGAAGCCCCCTGCATAGAAGAAAGTAAATACTATACCTACTGATCTTGCTGCCCACGCCACTAAACGCCTCTGTAATCCACAGAAAACGCCCACTGAAGGATCTGCAAACACTTCAGCGATTGACAAACTTCTTTATTGCCCACTGCGCTCAGTTTTTTTTCCCCCACCTACATCACTACAGCCCACAGCAGGTAGGGAAACTCCTCAAAGTAAAACCTTACTAGACCTAAAAACTGAGCAGCAGGCATCATAGAAGGAGAGGTAGCTTCAGGCTTCCCCCCAGCTTTATATTATATAACACATCAGAGCCGAGGAGGAGGCCGGGAAAGTTTCCCTCTGCTCTGCATTTCTTTGCTTCTGGGGTCTGCACAGGCACTTTACTGCTATGCATGTACCAGCAGTGACACAACCTGCAGCTTTGCCAATGGTTTTAACTATTATTTTGACATTTTTGGCATCACATAAGCACTTTTATGAGTGCTCGTTTGTATTGATGCATTTAGCTCAATACTTGTTTTGTACATCAAACATAGAGCTACTATTCACATAGCTTGGTCACTTGACCTGCACTTTGAAGTTCCATTAGGTGCCTGCATATAGGATGCCATAAATTACATAAATAATACATCTGAAATGTACTTCAGGCCTTACATTATCAAATGCTATAAATACTCGACTCAATTCTAGTATAACTTTCATTGTGAAACACTCATCCTTACAACTTTTTTAACAAGCCAATAGAATGTGTTTATCTAACTCTGGTGTCACACAGCAGAGCCTGTTGAATAAGCTCATCCAGCCCATAACTTGATAGAGATTTAGAGAGGGGAGACTGACCCTGTGTTTTGCCAAAAAAGTAGCCCATTTCCCAACCATGCAGCTTTCTCACCAGTCTGATTGGGTGCAAACCGTGCTGGGAGGCTACCAAAGCTACAAATCTCAAACATTGTTATCAGCCCTGCTTTAGTTTTCTCTGTGGACAACAAAACACCTCTTCCCTATGTTGTAGAGATACGGAGGAATATATATATTTTTTTGCTCTTTTTGTTCAGATACACTTTATATCCTTGCAATGTAAATAATTGCGCAGGATTTCTTTTTGTGTGTGGTGTTTTACTTTAAACACCAACACCTTGATAATGTTTTACAGAAAAGGAGTCTTGAGTAAATGCAAATGTATATATTACAGATTCCTCCTTGATTTCCACTTTTACTTTAAATGACATTACCCCTAGCTCTCATGCCTGGTGAGAAAATAAGATTTTATGTTCTTTTATATTGATAATTGTCTGGTTTCCTTGAGCCACATTTCTACCCATTCTGTATAATGCCTTTTGGTTTTCTTTTCTGTTTGACATTCTCCCTGTAGCAGATATCATACATGCAGCTCCACATCCAGGTATCATACTGTGAATGTAAACTAGAAGCTCAAATATGGAATTGCAGAAAAAGCTATTACCTTAACCACAAATAAAAGTGCTACTGGATAGCAAATCTATTCATTGACTCTTAGGAGATGAATCCAGATCCTTGTTGCCAGGCTTGCTAACCCTGCAATCTTAAGACTTTACGTCTGCTATTCAGTAGCAAGTACCCTTTGTTTGAACAGGTATCCAGCTTTAATTATTGCATATTTTTTACATAAATTATGCACATGAAGAAGCCACTCTACTCTTTGCTTTTCCTATAACCATGTATAGCTTTTCATTTTCTGCAGTGTGAAAATCTCTGAAACTAACTTTAGTCTGCAGTGCCTATTCAGGACAAATTAACAGATTTGTTTTAGAGCAAGGAGTGCATGCTTACCCTATGTTAGCTCCCCTGCAACCTTGTTCATCCGATCAAGTCCTCTGCAAAATCCCTATGTAACTTACAACCCAACACTGGGTCAGAGCTTATACAGCACTATGGACCTTCCTCCTGTCCCTCATTTGACATTATTCAACCTTGCGGTTGGCTACACTGCAAACTGACCAAACTTTTAAGGTACAATGTTCCCCTTTGGGTTTTTTCTGGTGACATCTGTTCACCACAGTCATCTACTGCAGGCTTATTTTCTAAGCGTCAGTGATTTGTATGATAGATTTATAGTCACCTGGAACTTGCATTTTATGTTTATTGACACCATAACCTGGCAGTGTATATTGCTCCTCGTTAAAATTATTGGCAGTTTTAAGTTATAGACAAATAAGTCTAGTGGTATATATTTGCTGATAAGGCTGCCCATATATTTTCTCAAGGATTTGTTACTGGGAGGGATGGGTGCTTTTGATATCAATGAATAATCCGTGCTTATTTACATTCATCAGGTTATAATATCACAATAAGAATAAAAGTTGCAGTACCTTCAGCAACTTATTTAAATGCATTGGTATTGGAGGTAAAGCATCTTATAAGCTGAAAATTATATTTGTCAGAGTATCAGTCAATGAGGCTTACTTGACGAATTGTAGAACAGGAGGAAGAAGATGCTTACTGTGCATGGGAATACTGGTTTGTTTCCACACAGTTTTTGCACAGTTCTTACAACTGGTTTAGGCAGCAACCAGCTTGCTGAAAAACAGTGCTTTAAATGTTAAAATTGACGCCGGCTGGGAAGGGATATCAGTGGTTGAGTGAGGAAAAATAAAATATCGTCTGCATATGCTGATAATTTATGTTCTTTATCCCCTACTCTAATTCCATGTATGGCTGAATTGTTTCGAATCTTAGTTAAAAGGGGTTCTAGCATTAATACAAATAATAGAGGAGACAATGGGCATCCTTGTCTCGTTCCATTTTGTATAGTAAATGGGGAAGATACTAAGCCGTTGACTCTTACTCTTGCTTCTGGTTTACTGTAAAGTGCTGCAATTCCCTGCCTTATATTCGGTCCTATACCAATTACCTTTAATGTCTCCTCCATAAACATCCAATCCACCCTATCGAATGCCTTTTCAGCGTCTACTACAAGAACTAAGTATATATGGTAATATATACAATTTTCGGATTAACTATTCAAAATCAGAAATCCTGCCATTAAACTTACCTCCGGCCGTTAGTCATAGTTTAAAAGTCTCATTCCCTTTTAAATGGGCCTCAGAGCATTTTCGCTATTTGGGAATCAAACTCTCAAGTTCGTTGAGACAAATGTATGAACTTAATTATGTACCATTGTTGAAAGTGATTACTAAGGACTAAGGCAGGTAAATTGTATTATGGAATCTGAAAAGTGGATAGCAATGGGTAGAGAGAACCATGATGCGTTCCTCAGTAAATGGGATGTTTGGATGGATTATAGCTTGATGAACCTTTAGGGTGGGAACTTTGGGGGAGGGTTTTGGAATATGAAAATATGGTTTTTTTTTTATTTTTATTTTTTTATTTTTTAAGAGGGTATGCAATGTATCTTTTTATTTGTTATTTATTATTATTTTGTTTTTGGTTGAGGCTTTTTTTGCTAGATTCATGACCTATGGAGTTAGTCTTGAATATATATTTGCTATGGGATATTGGTAACTCAGGAAATTTTCTTCTTTTTCTTATGTTCTGTTTGTATGGAAATGTAAATGTTTTTGAATTGGTAGAGATAAAATTAAAAATAAAGATTTAATAAAAAATAAAAAAAAATTGACGCCGGCTGATGAGGGGCGAGGAAAGTTTGAGGAAATGATGGTTGGTCCTGGTTGGTCGGGAAGCTGGCCAATCAGGAAGCCGGGCACCGTTTAATGACGTGGCACCCGGCTTTCTGATTGGCCGGAAAGCTGGCTTCATGGTCTCTCGTCACCTCGTCATTACATACCGCCTGACTTCCTTAATAGGACTTCAAGTATCGGTATTTGGTATCGGCGAGTACAGAAAAAAAATATTGGTACTCGATAAACCGGTATCGGTGCATCCCTAGTAGCTACAAAGGTAGTTAAAACTGAATTTTCTGAAATTCCATTACAGTTGATGAATGAACTTGTGAACTTGATAAAAATATAGACGGCCTTTTTTTTCTATTATTTCCGTTCTTTGAGATGTCAATTGAAATAGGTCTTTACAAAATATTGTTCATGCATATTTAAAGTGACACTAAACTCAGGAGTTAAATCTTTATGTACCTTAACTAGTAACAAAAATGTATCTTATTTCTGTATCACTCAGCTATAGATCCTCAAATCATCTCTGAATTCATGCTGACACTCCTTCTTTTTGGAGGGTGACTAATTTTGCTCTCCATGGTCCCTGTGTGTGTTGTAAAGTAGTCACCTCTCCAAGCTCACTCCTGTGATGGACTACAGTCTCACATTTAGTTTACTAATTTGTAGTCCATTATGGGAGTGAGCTTGGAGCAGTGGCTACATTACAACACACACAGGGACCAAGGGGACCAAAAGTAGTCACCCTCCAGAAGGAAGGACAGTGTCGGCATGAATTCAGAGATGATTTGAAGATCTACTGCTGAGTGATACATAAACAAGTTAAGTTTTTGTTAATAGTTAAAGAACTTGAATGCATTAAGATTTACCTCCTGAATTTAATTGTTATATTTGTGTTGCTCATTTCCAAACCTTTCCTATTGAGTCTATGGAGACAAAATGAGCTGTAATCTGCTAGAAAGAAGCCCATGCACTTTTCCAGCGACAGGCGTTTTTCTACATGTGACACTATGCTCAGCTGTGAACGAGGGCCAGGTGTTCAGCTTTAATTTGCCATCATCGCCATCCATTGAAACACAATATTAGAATATTTCACATTTTTTACCACATCCTCATACTAGTCTTATTCATTTTATTTTGCAAGGATCTGCCTGGAACCTCCTCTGGCACTGTCCGAGCAAGAGTTGAACACAAAAGCACCCTTGAACTAATAGAGAATGAGGAAGAAGAAATGGCAGTGGTAGGTCATGACCATTCTCCTGGTCCATCACCCAAAATGGAATCAAGCGGCAGTCCATCTGGAAGTGCATCTACTAAAAAGTGTCAAACTTCAGATTCTCAGACAGTGAATAATGTCATAAGCCAAAGTGCCACATCACCACAGACTACACAGCAAGCTTCGAAGCGTAGAACGCCTTGTATGTTTGCTGACAGCTGCTACAGGTATGTTAACTAGGTTTTATATCTTTAATGGTCTGTTAAAAATAACTGCCCCAGTTGGAAGCATTAAAGAAGAGGTCTCATCTTGTATTATTTTTCACAGCTCAGTCACTTAAAGGAGAACTATGGGGGGTTAAGGCTTTTCCCCATAGTTCTCCTTAGGGTAACGGTAGGACACAAACTAGCGTCTTCCCGTCACCCTAGGCTCAGTATACCGCGAGCTGTAGCTCGCAGTATACTGAGACGCCGCAGTATACCGCGAGCTGCTGCTTGCGGTATACTAAGATGCCGCTGCTGAAGCGGATCCCGACAATTATGTTGGGATCCGCCCAGCTGCGTGACTGACAGCTGGCTTTACCTATCTAGAGGCAGAGCCAGCTGTACCCACCCCCTCCCCCGTCCGTTACGCCAGTCAGCGCTGGCGGATCGGAGCAGGGAGGGGGGATTCCAGCCCCTCCCCTGTCACTGTCACCTCCCAATCTACTGAGCCGACCTGTGACAGTTTCATTGTCACAGGTCGGCTAGAACTATGAGATGAGTGAAAAGCACTCACCTCATAGTTCTCCTTTAACTTCCACAATGTATGTTGTTTTTTTTTCCTATGCTTCTGTGTAAAGCAGAAACTGTGATACAGACTTTGACAGCTCGTTCCTCTTCATTCCTAATGGCTTCTTGATTGACAGCTCTTATCTCAATGTCCCTGCACTTTTCCAGACCCAAGCGAGGTCACAGAAATGCAGAGGCGGGGGTACTCTCACAGGAATCAACAAAGACACTAGAACTGGAAGGGGAGACTTGTTTTGTGTCTGTGGAGTGCAGAGACCATGAGATAGAAGTCAATCAAGAGGGAATGAAGAGGAGTGAGCTGTCTAAATCTGTATCTCAGTGTCTGCTGCACACAGAAGCGTGGGATAAAAAGCAACATACACTGTGGGAGTTAGGTGATTAAGCTGTGAAAAATAATACAAGGTGATAATTCTTCTGTAAGCCATAGAGTGGATTCAAGTTGGGTTAAATAATATGGGGCCAAATGTTTAAATAAGAGCAGTACTAAGAGGGTTTGTAGTACACAGAGACATGCACACGTGTCGTGTAAGAACATTCGTGTGTATGTTCCTTTATGGTGAAGAGGAAATAATTACTTTAATTCACATTAATAAATTGCTAGGCTATGATAGTTCACAGGCCAGTATCTAACAGAGTTACATATACAGCAGCTGTAAAAACTGTGGACAGCCAGAGGGTGGCTGTGGGGGGGAGAGGTCTGTCAACAGTATGACATTGTGGCATGAAAGCTGCACAATCTAACCAAGAATGTTTAATACAGGAAATGTTCAGAATGCAGAAAATGTCATCAAAATATGACCAAGTCTCAAGAGAACACATTTAGGTAATAGCCTGAGAAATATTCACTACGCTGGGAGGATGTAGTGCATTTAAATCATGTCAGAAAATTGCTCCTTGAGAAGAACAATAGAGAGCTGACATATGTGTGTTCTAGTGCTGTGTGATGTTCTGTGCTATGGCTCTGGGGACATCTCTCGCTGAGTGACAGACTCCTATCAATTCATAACTTTTCCAATCCTTTAGTGGATGTTCTTCTTAACTTTTTATTTGATTGTATTTCCACCTTGTTTCCTTAGACTCTTTTTGTTTAGAGTTAAAGTTGACTTGGTATTAATCAAATGATATTAAGCTAACACCCCCTTAGTGGAAAACAAAACTTTCATCCAGACTCACTTTAAGCGATAATTCCAGCTTATACTTTGATTATCAGGTGTCAAAACCACCATTTTAATTATGTTGTTAGGGAAAAAAAATGTAAACATAAGAAAGGTTTTCTCATTAACCTCTTTATGACTGAGGCCCTTTTTTCATTTTTTGCACCCATGTTATATTCCACATTTTGGGCCTGAAAATGACTTAAAACCCCCCAACATTATATATTTTCTGAATGCCAAGACCCTATAGAATAAAATGGTGGTAGTTGCAAATTTTTATGTTGCGCAATATTAGCGCAACTCCTTATTAAACCCCAACATTTAGTGAAAAATTTAATTTAATGCCCCACAATCAGAAGCGATCTGGCGACAGGTAAGTCGCCAGGATCGCTTCTGTTGTAAAGCCGACAGTCGGCTCTACAAGTTTAAACAGAGTCCCGGCGGCAAAAGTCGCCGGGAGTCTGTTTAAACAGCCCCGATGCTGGCGACGTACACTGTACGTCGTCAGTCACGAAGGGGTTAAAGGAGTGAGAACATGACAACCTGAACCCTACTAGGTTTGGAACATATGATATTGTGGCAAAAAAAAAAAGGTAGATTGTAGAAATAATCTTTAATTTCTGCCATGGAGAGTGTATGAAGGGAGACTAGATGTTACTTTTAGTATTCCTACGCTGAAGATAAATAACATAAAAGGAATTGTTATGTCAGTTTCTGCGCAGATGAAAATTTATGTCATATTTTTTCATAAAGGAACTTTACCTTGAGCCTCTTCCAAAAAGAAAATAAGCTATTTATTTTCTGACTAAACATCATTTCCAGTGTCATCCTTCCATGTTTCTAAATGGCTTGTCTGCATTGCTACTTATAGTTTGATTCCATTGTGATATCAGCTGATCTGATTTTAGCAAAAACTTGCACTGCATGTGAGGCTGCTAGTGATGCACTATACATATATGTTATTTAAAGCTGAACTCTTAAATAAGAAATTAATGAAAGTCTGTATTAATACATCATTAAATAAGTCAGAGCATTTTTTTAAATTAACCCTTGCAGTGGGGCTACCCCCCCCCCCCCCACATTCCAAGGGTTAAACGGTC